CCCTAACCCTACGCTGGTGCACACCCCTAACCCTAGTATAGGGGTAAAGTTCCATTGAAAACAATGCGATTTTGAAAAAGCCCCCCTTGAGTAGGTTTTTCTGCACAGCTCATCCTTTCCGCCCATTCTAAACACATTCCAACCATCAAAACCCTGCCAGGACGCCTCGTTTTTCTAACCCTAACCCTACCCTGGTGCGCACCCCTAACCCTAGTATAGGGGTAAAGTTCCATTGAAAATAATGCGATTTTGAAAAGCCTTCTTTGAGTAGCTTTTTCTGCACAGCTCATCCTTTCTGCCCCTTCTAAGCACATTCCAATCATCAAAATCTTACATGACTAGTGCAGAAAAAGCTACTCGGGAAAGCATTCTCAGAATCGCCCTATATTCAATGGAATTTTAGCCTTGTAATACGGTTAGGGGGCTTCTGCTTTGGGACTTCGAGAGGAAATAGGAGGGAAGAGTGGGGATGTGTAGGCCAGCTCATCCACTGTGCTGCTGTCACCCTCCTCATGCAGAAGCTGCTTCCCTACATCAGGAAGCCCTGCAATTTGGATGCTGGAAGGACAAAGTTCCATTGATGAAAAAGGTGACTTGCTACACAAGTTCCTTCTCAATACTAGGAGGTGCTGGGAAAGGGTTAGGGGGAGGGTGTTTGGCCTCCCTCCTCCCTGGTGTATGTACTTTAAATCTGGTTGCTGAAGGGCTGAATAGGGCTTTTGACAGTGGAAATCCCAAACATTTTCCCTTTTTATTTTATTTATTTTATTTTCCGATTTATATCCTGCCTTTTTCCTACAAAGGGCTCAAGGTAGCTTACATCTCCTCCTCCATCTTATCCCCACAACAACAACCCTGTGAGGTAGGTTGGGCTGAGAGTCTGTGACTGGCCCAAAGTCACCCAGTTGGCTCCATGGCTGAGTGGGGACTAGAACCCAGATCCTCTGAGTCCCAGTTCCATGCTCTTAACCACTACACCACACTGGCTCTCAACTTCAGCCTCAGACAGGAAAGAACTCAGTACTGCAAACTACACCAGATCATAACTAAGTCTGAGTTTGTGTCTGCCAAATACACAATACATACAATTTAAACTTCCTGTTCAGATGCTTATACAACCCATGTGAAAGCAAGGTGTTCAGAAACAGAAATCTTTCAATTTTCTATCTTGCCTTTGATTCTGCATCCATCAATATCCTGATTGTTTCCTCTTGAGAGGAACAAAAGGGGGCTTACACACCTCTATTTTACCCTCACAACAGCGACCCTGTGAGATGGGGTAGGCTGAAAGTGAGTGACTGGCCCAAAGTCACCCAGGGTGCTTCATGGCCACATGAGGACTAGAACTCAGATCCCTGACCCAAACCTCTAACCACATCAGCTCTCAGCTGTCTCTGACCCAAAGTAACCACAGCACAGCTACCTGCAGATTACCTCTGTGGTAGCAAGAGAACGTTCCTCCAAGTTTCTGCAGCAGAACAAAATGTAATGGGAGCCATTCTTACTAAGTTTGATAGAATATTCGCATTGAACCTAATTCAACTACCCACTGCCCATTTGACTACCACAACCAAGTCTATATATGCTTGCATGGCCTCAAAGCTGACCATGGATTCTTCGTAAGTAACATTAGCAGTCATTTCATTTCACTGAATAACCGTGCACATGTTTTACCCACAGGTCTTTTCCTATTTTGAATTAGAATACACGGTTCTCGACCTTTCTTAAATTGGCATTAATAAGCCCTCCCCCTAAATATAAAGAGTAAACCCCACGACACTTGGGACAGCACACCCATGCGTAACTCACACCTAGAGTAAGAATTTGAAATAAAACAAACATCACTTACAGGACAGCAAGGACACCTAATGAATGCTCCTGTACATCCAGGGCACCCAACACTGTATCCAGGTGAGAGAGGTTTTTTGCGAGCAGTTCTCCACTTTTGTTGATCAGTTCACAAAGCTGGGTCATTTGTCCTGAAACAGGAAGGGTGTGTGTTACATTTCTGTTTGAATAATAACAATATAAAATAGCTCTCACATATACATTTATATAGGAACTGCGGAATGTACAGCCCCAGCACATGTGGTGGATGCTAGACTGAGTTTGAGTGCCGGACCTGGGTTCCAGTTTCCACTCTGCCATGGTGTTCAGTGGGAGTCTTTGGGTCAGTAACTGATTCAGCCTAAACCACCTTGTTGCAAGGATAAAACGGAAAAAAGGAGAGGCTCATATAAGTTGCCTTAAGGTCTTTACAAGAAAGAAAACACTGGACTAGAAACACTAAAGTCATTTTCCCCAGCTCCTTCCGAATCATACTTTTCCTCCTCCTCTTGCCTTTAATTACAACATTGTCATTGACAGCTAGCGTGGTGCGGCGCTTAAAATGCTGAACCGGGACTCAGCCGTGTCAGGGTCTAGTCCCGGCTGGCCGTAAAGCTCTCAGCCTGTCCCACTCCCGGGATTCTCGCTGCGGGGAAAGAATGCAGCGGAGAAGGGCTATGTCACACACCCCGGGTTCCTCTCGAGAGGAAAAAGGCGGGCTCTAAATGCAGTACAATACGGATAATGGAAGCAGGTATTTCAACTGAGAGAGAGGCCGAGCCGCGGGCCCGCGCCTTCCAGCCACGCGCCCCATGCCCGGCGAGGGGAGGCGGCGGCCGCCCTCCCCGGGCGCGGCTCGCCCCGGGCGCCGGCTCGGCCCGCCTCTCTCGCGGCGCCGCAGCCCCGCTCCGCCGCCCGACGCAGCGCTCACCTTGCGCCGAGAGCTGCCTGACGCTGTTGACGAACTGCTCCAGGGCGGAGGCCATCTTGGCGGCGCCGCGAGAGCTGCCGGGGAAGGGAGCGGGGCGGCGACCGGGAGCAGGCCCGGCCGAGGACGGCAGGGAAGGCGTCGCCTCCGCCCGCAGCGAACGCGACGACGCCGCGCCGAGCCAATCAGACGCCGCGCCGAGGCTCACGAGACCCGCGCCCCCCGCGTCACTTCCGCCGCGCCTCGGGCGCCTGGCGCGCCGCGGCTTTGACAGGGCGTTGCCATGGGAACCGCCTCGCGGCCTTCCACCCGGAAGTCGCCCTGGGCGCGGAGGGGAGTGTCCGGCTGCCGTGCACGCCGCCCGGCCGGCTTACCTCGGGCCGCCCCGCACGCTGGCGCTGGCGCGGGAGCTGAGGGTAGGGTGGCGTGGCGTGGCGTGGCGTGGCGTGGTGTGGCGGGGCGGGCGCGCCCCTCGACTCCGAAGCCGCGCTCGTCCTGCGTCTTCTGGAAGCGGGACTCGCAGGGGGCCGCTCCGAGCAGCGCTCTCGTCTTGCCCACAGCCGTTCTTGAGGGTTGCTCCGCGGAGAGGCAAGGAATCGAGAGCGCTGCGGCTGGATCGGCAGCGGGGCCCGCCCGGCCCTGCCAGCTGCCCACGGGCCCGCGCAAGCAGGAGAGGCGCCCCTCTGCACTGCCCCACCCATGCTCCTCAGCCGCTGGTGCACCTAGGCCCGCCACCTCTGCCCCTGAAGGGTAGCCCCCGAGAGCCTTCTCCATGACAAGCCGTGCTGGATTTTTCAGCGGATATGGAAGAGCCTACGAAAAGGCTGGATCAGGTCCAGCGCCCATAAATCCAAGAGCACCCTCCTGCCCATTTTCCCCAGCAACTGGTGTGCTTAGGTGTACTCCACTGTAGGTGGCACATGGCCATCTAGTCCAGTAACCATGGACGGACCTCTTTTAAACGCATACCACCTTGGTGGCCCTCACAGCACGTCACCCTTCCCATGTTTCTTTCTGCTTCTTTCAATAAAATCTATTTAATTACTTAATTTAATACCTCACCTATACCAAAATAGATCTCAGTACAGCTCACAACAGCACAATTAAAATACGGCATAAAAATGTGTAATAAAATTACCATCTTAAAACTGCCATCAGACCTTGAAATAATGAGTGAATAACAAGCCTTTGGCCTGGCACCGAAAAGAATAAAGCATTGGTGCTCTGGGAAGTCAGGGTGCTATGGCAGAAAAGGTCCTTCTTCGGCCTAATCCAGCCTGTTTGGTCCCTTGACCTGCTCTGTCGTCAGGCACTCCAAGGCACATCTTGTCCCATGGGCCTGTGCTATCCCACCACATTATCATGTTGTTCCAAAATGCCACGATGCTTTTCAGAGTTCCATCATTAAAGTATATACAAGCCACTTTGTTCTTTTTTAAAAACTATGGAACTCTGTAAAGGACATGCCTCTGTGGACTAGACTTGGCTTCATCCGCTGTGTCAGATGAAATGGATGCTAGTCCACAGACTTTTCTGCCATAAACAAATGGTAGCAACGCATTGCGGCTGCCACTGTTTCTCCAGGAGTTCTGCACTCATGCTCCACTTGATATTCCCAGTGTGGATTTGTGTGGCATCCTGTACCTAATAATGGAACAACATTTCACAGGAGATTCTGGCACTTGCTGCCTTGTTGACATGCAAACTTGCAGCCTCATAGTCTTCTGCCTTGTTTTAGGAGAACATGGTCCTTCACATAACATTTCATATTGTAAATAGTCGCTATGAGTACAAAATTAGTGTATTATCTGCTGCCTGTAAGAGTGGGGATGTGTCTTGTTTTTTCATTCGAAACAGCAGAATGAAGGGGGAAAGACTGGACCCAGAAGTGGTGACAATTGAATTCTGGGCTCTAGCCCAGAAAGGGCTTTGCAGAAAAATATTAAGTAGAGTTCGAACGTAAGTTGTCTTAATACACCAACGTTATGACAGAATTGCCAACAGTGTGGTATAACAAAAGACGATTTCCTACTCCTTGAGCTTTGAGTTTAAATTTCAAGAAGAGCGTAGGAGAGAGCAAAGAGGAGAAAGGCAAAGGTGACCAAAGAATATGAACTTTGACTTTTTTTTACCCAGTCATCAAAGATCGGAATTCTAACGTGTAACTCCAGTCCCAGATGAGTGGGAAATGGGCTGTGTGTTCATCCGACCCTGATGGAAAGGCACCCTGCGCAACCTCAGAAATAAATATCTAATGCATAAACGTCCACACTCCGCTTCTAACGAAGCCCGGCTTCGTTCTTAGAACAGGGTTAGATCAATCTGGGGCAAGTTCTGCGGCCTTTGAGCTTGGAGGGGGGGGGGCGGCGTTACTCCCGTGCAAACGCGCGCGGCAGCAAG